TAACTCTATAATAAAGCAAGAAGTTTTGCCAATCATTGTTTCCCGCCCAATGAAAACGACGCAATTTTGGGTTATTGATATTTATCCATCTAAGAGGTTATTTGTTCTGCGCGTGTTATGTGATTATGCATTGGTATGTAGTACGCACAGCCGTTTTCAAAAGGCAACTATTCGTATTAACTTAGCATACACTCCTTGGTTCCCAAGGAGTTCAATTAATGTAGAACTCTTGGAAGTTTAAACAAAATAAATATTAGAAACGCATCAGGCCTACAATTTCGAAGATACATGCAAGTAAATAACAAGAGAATATTATATATATTACACGGAATATGCAGAGTTGCAATCTGCAAATACACATTCAATGAGATGTGCGAATTCCAAAACATTGGCTGCTGTTCAAAATCAATGGTAAATTTGAATTATGAACCTGTATAAATACCCCGGTTCTTCATGGCAAAAATCCTTCACACATTAAGTTCAGTTTACTTCCTTTTCGAAATAGTATTGGTCTGTCAAGATGCCAAGCATGTTCATTGCTGTCAAGAATATCAAGCCGGAACACCAGCTCAGGGCAATCCGGGTGAGAGCAGTAAGGGTCTATGAAGTGCCTGAGAAAAGGGGAGAAGGGCAGGCCAGTAAGAGCATGGAAGTATTGTTCCATGATGAAGAGGTAGTGTTCTTTATTTTCAAAAAATCATATTCATGCTATCTACAAATCTAATGGTCTATAAATGTGTATAATTTTTTTTTAGGTTTTTGTCGGGGAGACTACATTCATGATATGCTATCTACTAACCTAATGTTCTTTTGCTGTGTAAAATTTTTTGTCTATTTTATTCGCAGGGAGACTACATTCATGCCAGTATTATTAAAAAGGACATTGGAAAGTATAGAGATATAATCAAAGAAGGGAAAGTATTTGAAATCAAGAACTTCATGGCTTCTACAAACTACTATGTCTACAAGATTACAGAACATGACTTCCTAATCAAATTCAACTATAGAACACAAGTGAAGGAGATACATTCTAATGGCTTTCCTTGCAAAATGTTTCGGCTAAAGAGTTTTTTGGCTTTGAAAGATCCTGCTGATGTGAATGACAAGGAATTGATTGGTACTATCTTTACTTTTTTAACTACTAATATCTTCCTTAATCTATTTTTAGTAGTGTTTTCTAATATTTTGTTAAATTGGCAGATGTGATTGGAAGGGTGGTTGAGGAGGAAACAAACTAACAATGATGCAATCTCTGAAGTAAGCCTTTCATAGCCTTACTGCTCTAGAATTTTTATTTTTTTTTTATGATGGTGGCTAAATTGGTTTACTGATTTTGTTAATAATAGGAAGCCTCTATTGGAGTGGAAGTTAATAGTCCTGCCTCTATTCAAGCCTCACAAAAGGAAGTAGATGACAATGCTGACAACTCAGGAGATATTAAAAGGTCTCTTTTGGATGAGTTTTCATCATCCAAAAGTAGGAAGAAGTTGAAGGAAGCACAAATTAAAAAGGAAAAAATGTAATTGTGACCTTGGTTGAAACTGATTGTTGTGGACCTGCCCTATCCAGACTTAAAGACTGATTTTTTTGTTCTTATTATGGTTTATTTAATCCTGATGATCTCTAAATAATATTTTTAGTTCTAATCCTGTTGATCCCTCATTATTAAAGATTATTTTTGGGATATTTTCTAATTATGGTTTACTGTCTTGATGAGATTGCCTAACTCATTGTTACCATATTGCCTAACTCATTCTTACCATATATTGGTGCTTCTACTGCTACTATTATAACCTGTTTTGCAGATTTTCTAACTTCCATTTCAGGTGATTGGGAAGGATGATCAAGGTTCAAGGTTTTAAGATGCAGAAACAAGGGACAAAATTTGGCAAGGAACTTATACTTTGTAGATGTAGTTTTGTATAGGTTCCATTAGATATTAAACTTCTCCTATAAAACTGTGTAAAGATACTAAGAACATTGAATGGCAAGAACTTTTTAAAACTTTCTAATACAAGTATAACCTCTTAGAACTAAATAACTTGTGCCTAAAATATAAAGATAGGTGATAGGTTTACTCACCTATTTGCAAGTTCTTCTTTTACTGTGTTTGCAACTCTCAAATCCAATTTTGGTCAATGCTGGTGTCCACCAAAAACTGCTAGCACATATGAAAATGAATTAATACACATCACTTAAGTGAAATCTTTGTAATACAAAATAAAGTTAACTAAAATTACCAATAAAATTGTTCAACTTCAGAATCTAAGTACTAATCTTAGGTTAAGCTTTCAAAGAATCCATATTGAGAAACAAACTACTAATCATAGGGTAGTGCTTGATTCTTAATCTACCAAATCTATTGGTTCCAATAAAGCACAGTAGCATAGAAACACTCAATCTGTTAGAATATCCTTAAATTAGAAGAAATACTTTGATACTTTGATACTACACCTAACTTTAATCTGCTGTGATATAGAATAAAAAAAAAACAATTTTTTAAAAAAAATCTAAGTCAAAAAAATTTGAAAAACATCCTTAACTTTTGAAATATTTTTAAATGTGGTGCAATTTAAATAATACAGTAAGTACTGCTCTTAGGTTAAGCTTCAGGAATTATTTATGTATCTAAATAGTTTTTTTTTTTTATTCTATATCACAGCAGATTAAAGTTTAAATGTGGTGCAATTTAAATAATACAGTAAGTACTGCTCTTAGGTTAAGCTTCAGGAATTATTTATGTATCTAAATAGTTTCATTACTCTACCAAAGCTCTTAATTGTTCTATAGTATGACTTATATATATACACTAGAAGACTGATAGCTGAAACAAAGAATTCCAAAAAGTATTGGATTAATGGTATATTCATCCAACAATCAAAGAAAGGGCCAATTTGAAGTATATGAACTGGGTCTAAAATTAAGGACAATTTGTTAACAAAATTCTGTTTAATTAAAAGTTTCTATTGCCTTGCAAACTAAAATGAACAAACTTACAAACTATGCAATTATATGCATACAAACTAATCTAAAGAACAGGAAAAAAAAATATAAAATCTTAACCTATTTGCTTAGATCCCCATGCTGCTTTTAGTTTCTTTGATTGATGTCTTATTTTCTGCTTGATTCTCTACAATTCCACCAGAGCTTGGGTTATTCCATCCTCAACAAAATAAGACAAAGAAAAAAAAAAAAAACAGGTTAGAAATTGTATCACTGTATTAAAGAACAACACCAAAAGGAAAGGATACACTGGCACAAAAAACATTTTTAGAGATATTTATAAAGGGAAGGATACAATAAAATTTAATGTTAACTTATCCTTAATTGTTCTATATAATGACTTATATACAACAATTAAATACACTAACTAATGCAAATTGGATACTTTAAGTTACTATAAGACTGATAACTGAAACAAAGAATTCCAAAAAGTTTTGGATTAATGGTATATTCATCCAACAATCAAATAAAGGTCTGAGTTGATGTATATGAACTGGGTCTAAAATTGAGAACAATTTGTTAAAAACTAATCTAAAGTCAGGAAAATAAATGTAAAATGTTAACCTATTTGCTTAGATCACCATGCTGCTTTTAGTTTCTTTGATTGATGTCTTATTTTCTGCTTCATTCTCTTCAATGTATCCAGAGCTTTGGTTATTCCATCCTCAACAAAATAAGAAAAAAAAATAAAAACAGGTTAGAAATTGTGTGTCCAATATTAAAGAACAACACCAAAAGGAAAGGATACACTGGCACAAAAAAGATTTTTAGACAATTAGAAGCAAAGAAGCAATGTGTTCAATATTCTACAAACTTATATACAGAAATTGAATAAAATGGAATTATTGGGCTGTGAAGTAAAAACTAATCATTCTTAGGGAAAGTAAAACATTCTTTAGATATTAAATATAATTGATGGCCAGCTATCATTACTATTAAGAGAAAACCCTTCAGTTCCACTTCGAATCGCAAAATCATTGAAAAAATATAAATTTGCTACAATGAACCAATCTATTGATAGCTGCCCCATCTAACTACAAAAATAGTTTTCCAGTTTGAGACCTCAGCCAGAGAGACATTTGACATTAGCAGTTGCAAGTACAAACAATAGACAGTGCAATGAAGAAGATTACTAAGTCAACAATTATAGGCATCAAAAGGAAACCAAGTGAGCAAAATAAAGGTAAGTTCGAAACTTATCTTTTTTCATACTTTAAATGAAGCTTCATTTTTGCATCCCTATTGCTTTCCGATTCTGCTTATGCTCTCCATCTCCTCCAATAACTCCAGTATGTCCATAAAAAAAAATAGATTAGAGATTACAGTATGAAAAATAGATTAGAGATTACTCCTCAAAAAGTAGATTATAGGTGAGTGTTTGTGTGAATAATAATATATTTATAGCATTTAGCACATGAAAAAAACACACTTAACCGTAACTTCTCAATCTGGTGTTTTTAGAGCAGCATTAAAAAGAACACGATTTAGAACCCTAATTGCGGTGAATCATACAAATCTGAAATTAAGAGATTTTATCTATGAGAATCGATCTGCATGCTTAACTATTCTTACTAAGGAGAAGACATTACAGTATGAAAAATTGATCAATTTCGAATTGGACAACAGTCATCCATAAGAAACCCTAAACGAATTGACTGAAAGATGGAAGCATACTAATTAGAATGCTGTAATTTTTTTTTATTTGAAGAAATAAAGAGTATTTTTTTTCATTACAAACAACAAAATCTATTTTAAGCTTAATACAAGAAATATTGTAGTACAACTAATCATGCATTGAGAATTATACCAGTTACATACTGTCAGTACAACTTAAACAGTCAAAATTAATGTATATACTCAACAGATTTGTGTAAAAATTCATACACATAGATAACTATTGCATAGCTAAAACAAAAAAAAAAAAAAAAAAAATTATCAATGCATTGAGAGTTCTACAAGTTACATACTGTCCTAGGTCTTAAAAAGAAAATGAATAATGAGCAGGTTAGGAAAACTTACTTTCGTAACTGAGGATGGATTGCATAAACTTAACACTGTAGAGCATAACCTGTAAATATAATTAAGATATCATATTAAGTAACACAATTACTTTTTACTATAAAATTAAAGTAGAATCTTTAATCCAATAAAAACAAGAGAGCTTAATATAAGTCCAAGGGACAAGAGAGCTTAATATAAGTCATACTTAATTTAAAGTTTAAGTATGAAAAAAAGCATAATGTTAAAAATAAGTATTACTTAATTTAAAGTTTAAGAACACTTACTTGACATTTCAAGTGCCAAGCCATTTGAACCTCCTTCAAATAAGCCATTTGGTCCCTGGAAATATACTGTTACAAAACAGTAGTCGGACATTAATAAGCCATAGCAATTATTAGTTTTCAATAGTACTTAATGACTATTTTTCAATAGATCTTTTTTTTTTGTTTGTTTGTTTGTATCAGTACACAACATGTATATGAAATCTAGGCTGAAATTAAACAAATCAATGTAGAAGATACTTAGCTTTCTTCATGCTCGAATGTATGAAGCTACTCATTCTGCAAAAAAAATTTAAAAAAAAATCTACCATCAACAACAATCAACACATTTAATCCCCACCCAAGTACTGGAAAAGTTAAATAGATTAGCCTAACAACGCATGCATTGCAAAATTTAAAGAAAAAAAAAACCCTAGACAGACAATTAAGTGAACCTAATGCACAAATCGGGTAAAATCTTCATAGATTATGTCTTCTTAGACTTTAAATTGAAGAAATTCATAAACATAATCTACAAATGCTTGGCTAAATTAAACGAATTAGATAGATTTCATAGAAGGATTATACTTACAACGATGATGGTAGCAGCCTTCGTCTTCACTGTTAGCTTAGATTTATGGTAGTATGATTGCCAAATTTGTGATGCTTGAACAATGATTGCATCACAAATCTGGAAAATCAAGTAATATAGAGACATAGAGGTAATAGATAGATAGATGCAGAGAGAGAGAGCGATGGTGAGGAAGAGAAATGTGTGGGTGAGATATTCCGGGTAAGAAATGAACACAGCTTCCTGACCCTTCATTTTTGTTTTATATATATATATATATATATATATATATATATATATATATATATATATATATTGAAATGATGTGTGTGCACGTGTAACCTGCATAATAAATTTGACATTTGAGGTGTAATGCATATATTATTTATATATATATAATCTATATTATATATTACACACACACACACACACACACGCACACACACACACATATATATATATATATATATATATATTTGTATATAGAAATATATAAAAAAATTATAGAGATTAATTAATAGATAGTGTATATATTAGAGATTTTTATATAATATATGGTTTGTACTATTTCAATTTTTTTTAAATTTTATTTGATTGTGTCTGTAGAAAATGAACCCGTATTTGTTCATGGACAGTTATATGATGCTGTATTCAGATTAAGTAACTCAGACGGTCTTAAGATATTAATTTGTGGCGAAACATAAAATAATTTTACTTACTGATGTAGTTTATAAAGAGGTTTTTTATAATTTGTAATTTAATTTTTTCTGCCAATAATATTTTTCCTTTTTTGCACAATAACACTTTATTTTTATTAAAATTGTATTTACCCCGTGCATCGCACAAGACAATATCTAGAAAAATACTAATTATGCTCCATATGAGAAAGCAAAATACTAAGTACATACCACCAAAGTTAAAAAATAGAAAAAAAAATGTGATTCAAAAGGCATAGTAAAATAATGATTTAAGGAACAGAATCATTTAAACCCTTTTGTTAAATAGAAAGTCTACATTGTACGTAGCTGTTTCAAGTGTTAGTAATCCAATAAGTTTAAAATTTTTGATTTGTGGCGAACATGTACCATGTCTAAGTACGGCTAAAAAATGTTATGTCCAAAAGAAGTTTTCAACAATGTGTAATAAAATTTCATAGTTGATCATTTCAAATTTATTAGTTTTAAAATTGTATATTTTTTCATCTTATTATATTATACAAAATATTATATATATATATATATATATATATATATATATATATATATATATATATATATATATATATATATATAGGCTAACTTTCTGGTACACTCCAATCTTAAAGTGTGAACTAGTGCACTCATCCGGTCCATTGATTCTGTTAATCCAACCACCCTAAATAAACTTACTTATCCTTATCATGCATCGGCACGCACGTTAACCCTGGGGTATTAGCGGTAACTAGTTTTGCTGTTGTATTTGAATAGGACTAGTTTATTACGCAAGATCCAAAATGATCAACTATTTACGCCCCCTAACTGCTCTCCGACAACGACCCGGACTCTTTGCGCAAGTTCGACAGTGATCAATTCTGTACGCTTTCCGACATCCAGACGATGAGTGCAGACGGTGATGAACTTCAGGCAACAGGTGCTGTTGTTTTGTTTTTTTTTTTTTTTTTTTTGTTTTTTTTTTTTTTTTGGTTTTTGAGGGGGCATCGTTGGGTATCTCATATGGCGACTGCCGTGGTTTGCTTTCGGAAAGGTACGTCGTGACGAATCCGGCAGTACGGTAGGGTGCAAACATATGGGCCATCGTGATCCCCTTCCCCCTTGTGATTGCATTCGCCTACCTTTAGATTCCAGTTATTATGGGTTAGCAAGTATTGAACTCTGTTGCAGTTCAATGACATTTTATGGAGGCATGAAATTCCTCACACGTGAAACATTTTAATACCCATGCATGATCTACAGAATCCTACAACACACCCATAAAACTTGGCCAGATTTTACAACTTACACCTTAAGAGTGGATTTAATTGCATGCATAATGTACTCTCAATTAACCAGAATGCTACTGAGTGCAAACTGTGATGTTGTTTACTCCGCATGCTGATAGTGGTTAACAATGTTGATATTGGTAAACTGTAGGGTTGATCGGCGGTGATTTAGGTACCGGCGATGTAACGCAAACCACGACGGGGTTTACTATCGCAGTTAACCAATACTGGAAGCCCAATGTAGACGCTAATCTCGTGCCAGAAGTCGAACGTCGTTTTAACACCCTTCACGAAGGAATCCAATTCTACAAGGCCTACGGACGAGCGGGTGGATTTGACATCAGGCACAGTAGTTTTAAGCGAGATCGTGCTGGTGAAATTATGTCGCGTCATTTAGTATGTAGCAGACAAGGGGTGAAAGGAGGTGGCAGGCGCAAACCCATAGTAGAAGTCCGTGCTGGGAGTGGTAGCAAAAAGCAACGACGAAGAAGGATTTCTAACAGAGTGGGGTGTCGCGCTAAGCTTGGATTTAAGAAAGAGAATACTGGAGAGTTTATGGTGACTACATTTGTGGAGGAACACAACCATAGTTTGTGCTCAAAGGGTGCGAAATTATTTATGAGGGGTAACAGGCAGCTTAATGTGGCCCAACAAGCATTGTTAGCAAATTGTATTAAGGTTAATATTGGTTCTTCCGCCGCGTTTAGGTTATGCAGGGAGGTGGGGGGTTCGTTTGAGAGCGTTGGTGCAACGAACATGGAGTTCGATAATTTTAAACGAGACTTGCAAGCATACGTTGATGTGATTGACGGTGAGATGATTATAGAAAGGTTGAGAACAAAGCGTGAACTCTGTGTAGACTTCTTTTTTGATTACCACCTAGACGAGGAAAACCGGCTCGCACGGCTCTTTTGGGCGGACCCTATCAGTAGGGGGAGTTTTTCTTGTTACGGTGATGTTATCTCATTTGATGCCACGTACAGCACAAACAGGTGAGTACTGACTTTCATTTAAGGATGCAGCAATTGTTCGTGTTTATTGACTTTCATTTAAGGATGCAGCAAAATAGAGGAATAGATTACCTCTTCTGTTATTATGTTTTTTTTTTTTTTAAAAAAAAAGAAGTTGCATAGTTGTTAGTTTTGCTTATGTCATGCCTAACCAAACTACTTTGGCAGTAACAACTCACGATTAAATGCCATGTAGATGATACAACTTCTGCCGTAACATGATTTCATTTCCCTTTGATTGCAGATACAATTTGGTGTTCGTGCCATTCACTGGAGTGGACAATCGCAAACGATGCATTACTTTCGCCGCAGGGTTAATCACTAGAGAGGATGTGGTATCGTACAGTTGGCTACTAGAGAGATTCGTCAGTGCAATGAGGAAGCCCCCCTATGTGCTGTCACCGATCAGGACCCAGCTATGAAGGTTGCTATGGAGTGGGTTATACCTGAGTGCCGTCACCGTTACTGTATGTAGCACATTATGACGAAAGTTAGTGAGAAAGTCGGGCCTGGGCTAGCAAATAATGAGGTGTTTCACAAGAGTTTGAATGATATTGTTTGGAACGAAAGAATCTCCATCGATGATTTTGAGGTGCAATGGAAGCTCCTAATGGAGAAATACAACTTATCTGAGCACCGATGGTTTGGTAAACTATTTGCAGAACGGGAGCATTGGATTCCAGCGTTTTTTTTCTGATTTGCCAATGAGTGGGTTGGAACGCACCACATCCCGATCTGAGGCACAAAATAGCGTTTGTGGGAAGTTCACCCGTCCCCTTTCTAGTTTGGTTCAGTTTTACATACAGTTCGAGAGTGCCCTTGAAACTCAGCGACACAAGCAAGCAAAATTAGATGCTCAATGCGAAGGGTACTTGCCGGAGTTCAAAACTCCTTTGGCATTAGAGCGAGAGGCCGCTCAATTGTTCACACTCGCTATTTTTTACAATCTGCAACAAGAGATTGAAGCTGCGTGTTTCTATTGCCAAGTTGTAGGTATCCATGAGGATGGTGGGGGCATTTTTTATGACATCACAACAGATTCCGCCCCTCCGTACACCGTGCACTTCAACCCGGACGGGTGTAGAACTGTTTGTAGCTGCAAGATGTTTCAACGAATGGGGTTGGTTTGTCGGCATATGTTCTTGGTGTTCAAGGGCGCACAACTAAAGCAGTTACCAACCCAGTACATTGTGGATCGTTGGCGCAAACATCTGAGTTGCAGTGCTTGTAGAGGGCGACAATCTAAAGAACACCTCCCAAAATCAGGGGCAACAGAACTGTGGTCTGAGATAAACACATGTGTTGGGCTCGTGGGTGAGAGCACGACACGTCAAGGTCGGATGGTGCAGGTATTGAAAGAGTTGCAAGCGGAATTTGCGAGTGATGGTACAGGTACTGAGGCGACAAAGGGTAACAGTGCCGCGATCCAGGCATTATGCGTGGTGCAGCCACCTACAACCATAACCATTAAAGCTCCAGCCCAAGCTAAGAACAAAGGGAGTGGGAAACGTCTTAAAAGCAGCCGAGAAATAGCCATAGAGAGCAATGGCAAAGTTGGTCGAAAGTGTGGGTTGTGCGGCGAGTATGCCCGTCATAATGCGCGTAGTTGTCCTTCGAGGTGCAATATGGTTTAGTTAGTCATACCCCATGGTCCCTACCTAAACGAAACAATGCTTATTTAGTTTAGAATTATTTTCGTATGTTTAGAATGATGATTGTTTCATTTTAGTTTTATTCCAATATCCGTGACTAGTAAATTTCCTTATGACAAGTGAACGATGCCTGTAAGTGGTTGTTTAATTTTAGTTTTTGCACATTCATTATTCCATGTTTTTTTTTTTAATTTAATTTACTGTAGCAAGCATGCACTTAGGTCTGATTGTTAACACTGGATCAACATCACGGTGCAATTAATGATGGGTTTAGGCTGTGAGGTGCATAACATCATGCATTTGGGTTGTGCAAATGTACCTAATTGCAAATGTATACTTCACTAAGGGGTACTCTAGTTGGTAGAAAATGGGGTAATATAAAATAACAAGAGAGTAACATAAACCTTTAAGTAGAAAATGAGTTCAGTAAGAAGTAAATAAAAACTAATAACAACTTGATAACAATGCTTCTGTTTGTCACTCTACGAGGCTGAGGCAAAAAATATTATTTAACCCAAAGAAATACTCATGAACGTAACAATTGGGGTGTTAGCAACCGTGGACCTGTGCCGACCATTGATAAGCACCCATCTGTTCCATAATTAAAAGGCCATAACTAAAATATGCCGCCAGACTATTAATCCGTAGGAGACCAAAATAGAATGCACCAGCGTAGCGTTAAAAAACTATACTAACTAACGTCGCAACGATCCCCTACTTCTGCAGTCATTGTTATAGTTGTGCCAACCTCTGGGTATCATATTGGCCGACGCAATAGGCTATATCCTGCATCTGTTCATTGACCTCGGACAACAGTATGTTGTGCATGAAACGCTTTCGTAGCTCGAGTAGTTGTTGACTATTTCTTCGCTGCAATCCGCAGTCCCAGTTTCTGCAACTTTTTCCGGTGTATGATTCCATGTGCCGCATTGTAAACACCGCTGAGTCGAGGGTAGACGTGGTATTTCTCCACGCCATCTGCATCCTTTTTGGTTTCATGCTTGCTAACCGGAATGCATGCAACGTTTGTTGTTTGCTATCTAGGTACACGCTTAATAGGTCATTCTGCACAGAAAACAATTTGGTAAGTTAGTTGCTTCAATTTATATTGTTGCTTATCCCACATAATTAAACATTCGTACCAATGCACCTTTTTTTTTTACTTATGATCGTACACGTAACCAAATGCTACCACAACATAACCCATAACTATCACCTTAAACCAAATAAAAAGCAAAATAACCATTATTCACCCAGCAAGCATTCGCCACACAGTAATAAAATATATTTTCACAGATTTTAGTGGAGGGCAGTGCATTGTGGTTTTATCACAGCTACGTACCAACTCTTGTGGTGCTCCATCATACAAATCTTTGTTTGTTCCGCTCGCGGATGAGCTGTCGATAACATCAAACCTACCGTCCTTGAAACTTACGCTCATCATGTAGTACCGGCCCTTGTGCAGAATTGGAAAAATAAACTACACACCAGAAACCCGACTGCGTTAGTTCTATACTTTTTTCATAAAATACTTCGTTATGAGAGACTATTTCTAAATTTATGAATGATTACCATATCTATAGTTCTTGTCCCTACATGGTGTGTAGACTTGAGTTCCTCATCTAGTCGCCTATCAAACCACGATTGCCTCTCATCCTGGCTGGAGGAAATGGACATGACGGTGCCAATCTGCAATGAGATATGTTATACACCGGTGGTTCATTGGGGTGTAATGGGCTCGTGCGATAGGGTTTTAGATACTTATCGTGGTAGCAGTCGAGAAAAAGATGCGGGAAGGTTCCCCCTCGGCCTTGGTTTTTTCCTTGAAATTGAGCACGCTACACCATGCATCCACTATAGTCTTTGCCACATATGTCCTTTCCTTCAAACTTTTGAAATCTGACCATCTAGCTTTCCGGTTGATATGTTGGAACAGCACCTCATTGCTACACAAATAACAAAAAAATTGTTTATGTTACCGGAGGTTTGAGTAATGGTTTCAAACCAGGTTCAGCGATGCATTATTAAACAGCTACACTTAAAAACCAGATCAGACCCAGCCCCATTAAAGCATATATTTCAGAGACCAAAAAAAAAAAAAAAAAAAAACCCAGACGCATGCTTATGATATTGTTATCACGTATATGGTATTTCTGTGCATTCCAGATCGTCCCCACATCTAGCATAGTGCAACTAGCCTAGTGCTAGCCTACTTTATAATAGCTGGTCTAAAATCTCATGTATATACCTATAAATGCACCCATTTGCAAGACTAAGGACCGAGTGATAAACCAAAACTAGCATAGTTGTTAAGAAAGAAAGAAAGCAAGCTCAGCTGCTTGGGTTTGTATTCAACAGAGGTTATAAAAAATCCAACACACATATAATTTAGAGACAAACAAACGAGTATTTAGATGCTAACAACCCACTTACCCGTCACCGTGCGGGCAGGCGAACACCCACAACCAGACGGCGTATACGGGCGGGCTCTTCCCTTTACGATGTGCCGCATCCCGCCTCCCGGGGCCTACACATTGGGGGGATGGCTGCAGACCAGGCCCTACCTGTTGCACCTGTAGAGGTACCTAGCACCAGATTACGTCATACGCATAAGTAAACATACGAGCACACGCCAATGGGGAAATTTAGACACAAACCTGGGGAGATGGTGTTGCAACATCCAACGACAGCGCCCTGTTTTTTCCCAGATTTTGCGTAGCCAACTCTTGTGTCATCCCTAAGTTAAAGCTAGGAGCATCGAGGAGACACAAACCTGGGGAGATGATTAGTGAGATGTGAAAATGATTTTATTTAAATAAATCATTTTGTTAGCCATGATTATTTGGCATGAGGAGATGTGTACTTCCCTACTGTGGGTGTGTGGTTTCAGCGTATCAAAGGCCGGACGTGATGACCATTAAAGCAGATACAAGTTACAGGATGAGATCGGTACAATACTTTTTATTTGTCTCGGCCTCGGCATGAATGTAAGTTTTATCTTGTTTACTGGTTAAGTTCTGGCTTAGGTCTAGAAGATATGCATGGGATTCTTTTGAATTTTGCATAGCCTGTTAAATACAAGGATATGTTTATGCATTATATAAATATTTTTATATTGAGACTCTGTCTCGATTGCATGCATAGTATACAAGGTACATGTATAATATGTTGGATCTTGAGGTGCTGTAAATCTGCCAAATTTGAATTAATTTGGTGTTATCAATTTTTTTTTTCTTATGCATGGTTACAATGTTTAATGATTGTAAGTTGAAATTAATTTCAATGTCATGCATGAAATTATTGATAACTTTAGCACACTGAAAATTTATCCTTGTGAAAGTGTGAAATATTATGTTATATATATTTCTGATTAAGGCAGGAAGCCTTTGAAATATTTGTTATATTTCTTGTATTTAACACACAGTTTCTCATATTGAGAATGTGTTAAAATATTGAAAGCCAAAAAGTTTACTGGTTTATCTAGTATGGAAATTGACAGTGAAAAGAAAGTTTTAATTTAAATCATGGACTATGATTTAAGAAGGTATGATTCTTCAGTTTAGAAGAAACATGAAAAGTTAAAAGATTAAAATCATATATGATTATTCCCCAAAGTGAATGGATATTTCTGAATGGAGGAGGTATATCAGTATATGATTGTTCTCCAAAGTGGATGGTATTCCAAGTGGAGGAGGTTTAATTTTTTATTTTAAGGAATCACTCACTGTTAATTATTTCTACATGGTGATTGAAAATTCTTGGTTATAGAATTTACATGAAAATAAATATTTATTGACTAGGAACCTGTAAAGTGGGTTCCGGTAGGATCAAACAAATATTTTATTTTCACAAGTTCATTGATTGAATATTAAAATTCTATGATGCCGGTTATATCTAATCAGGAAGAGTTTTCCTCAATTAGTGGATGGGTTTATCTGCTTGGAGGATGTATTTTTTCCTGGATTTCTAAAAACCAAAGTTGCATTTCAGATTCAACTATGGCATCTGAATTTATTGCATTGGTTTAGGCATGCAAAGAAGTTAATTGGCTAAGGAATTCATTTATAGAGATTCCGGTTTGCCTAAAACCGATGTCACCAGTTTTAGTACATTGTGACAGCGCTACTACACTGGCCAAAGCATATAACAATAAGTTATAATGGCAAGTTAAGACACATAGGCATGAGATATAGCTATGTGCGGGAGCTCCTAAGTTATGGTGTTGTAGCACTGGACTTGGTACAGTCCCGTTTTTAACGGATCCGTTTGCAAGAGTCCTTGCAAGGGACATGGTACATCGGAAGGGATATGGAAAGCCTAATTATTTAATTGCAGGTGAAGGAAAGCTCAACTCACGTCTAAGTTATTACGTTAGATCTTGAGTTCAATGTAGATGAGTACTTCATTTTGTGATTACAAGCATCAAAAGTTTAAATTAAAATTTGTATCCCAAGAAAAGGAGATGCTTGGTTCTGCATTGTTGTAGGGATGAGTTTTTACTATTAACTGATCTTTTGAAAAAATGCAAGTTGCAGTGCATGATATAAAAGATTAGCCTCTGTGAGCATGAAGTGTGGCCGCTTCAAACAAGTTTGGGCTTTACTTGGTTTGTGCTCATTAATGGATACGGACACATGGCCATAATAGTGTCAAGTTACAGTGAGTTGTAATGACTGTAAAACTTGTGTGTGTTATATCTACTATACGTTTCTTCAAAGAGACTGCGTGATTCAAGGTTCGTCCATCACTGCAATCCGAATTAATGTAACGCATATAATACTATGTGAAAGTTCAATCTCTAAGACACTTTCATTATGCATAAGTTTTAGATTTATCTTGGTACAGTGTTAATTTTTACTATATAAATGGAGGAGGAATGTTGGAAATTTATATAGTAATGGAGATTAATGTTTCAGATAAACTACCATGAAAGCTTAAATAATATTTGGAGTTGTGAAGTTATAAATATTATTTTAGTTTGGTAGAAAGTAAGTTGGGAAAAATGATTTGGAACCGAAGTTTCATGATTCGTTGGTGTTAACGAATCGTTAGTTTTAAACGGATCAATGCTTTCGGTGTCCATCAAATCGACTGGTATCTGCTTTGTTGATTTGGTGTGGTTATGCATGCAGTATGCATGGAATATATATATATATATATATATATATATATATATATATATATATATATATATATATATATATATATATATATATATGTGTGTGTGTGTATCCTTTTTTACTCTTTGCATGGTCACATGCAATCGACTGGTATCTGCTTTGTTGATTTGGTGTGGTTATGCATGCAGTATGCATGGAATATATATATATATATATGTGTATCCTTTTTTACTCTTTGCATGGTCACATGCACTCAAGTAAAACATAGGTATATATATATATATATATATATATATATATATATATATATATATATATATATATTATTTAATAATATTGTATGCATATGAAAGTTCATACTTTGATTAGTTACATATATTTTATATGTAATTATCTTTTCCCATGTATTTTAGATAAGATTTTATCTTATTGGAAGTTAAGTTTTAAATTTAAATAATTAGCTTCCATGTAAACTTCTCCAAACTGATTTTTACATCTATAAAATCTGGAGAATCATCTGAAAAACAGACATGCAAAAACTTGCATTAAACAGAGAAAAGTTAACGGATACAATTTTTACAAGCAATTATTTTGCAGGAAATCAAGATACTTCACAGCCCTACAGTTCTACAGGAAATTCTCAAACAAAGCAACTTGAGAATTTCATTCATCTTCTTGTATCCCATAAGATTAAATCTTGAACCTTGTTGCTTTTATAGAGGGAGATTTAAAGCTTATAGGAAAGTAATTACACGCTTGAAGATATGAAATGATCCAATTTTTGTTCCCTGTTGTATTCTGTATTATTGTTGTATCTCAAATGTATTATAGAATACAAGCCATTTTTCCAACACAATCTACATAAGAGCAAAGATAATTTAAAAAAAAAAAAAAATCAACATCTAATGCTATAATTAATTTCAAATAATAAACTTAAAATAAAATAAAAAAAAGGTTTAAAAATATATAAACTATGAGTATAGAAAGTTACCCAGTAAAATTTATTTCTTTCATTTTTTTTCTAAATAATCTTGTCCAATACTAACCCAATATTTCTTTCATTTGATTTAACAGAATTGGGCTTTTTTTTGTTCATTATTATTCAGTTGCAGTAGATTACAAGTTGCAGTAGGGTTTTTTTTTTGTTCATTATTATTCAGTTTATTGTCTTAATTAGTTTGGCTAATTTATAAAAATGATGATTGATATTTTATATTTTATAAATCCCTAATTGACTAATTCCCTAAATTTTAAATCTTCAACTTTTTGTTTATGAAATTTTTCTGTTTTGTAATTAATCCCAATTAGTGATTTCATATATGCTTTTGCGGATTTGTATATGCTAATCGCCTAAATTCCTAATTGAATACATATTTGAAATATTTTCAAACTGGGCTTCTAGTCTCAACTCTCAAGTATTGAAGATCTAAAGGTAAGGGGAATTGCTTGTTCATGAAATTGATTTTTATATTGTGCATATTGTGCGGTGTGTTAGGGGTTCATACGGAAGCAGCAGCCAGAGATGGTCAGCCTTACAAACGAACTAGTTTGTTTTTAACTCATTTTCCTTTTTCACTTGTGTTTTGGTTGCTCCAAGCCCCACTGCTAGCTGTCAAATTGTGGCAGAAACTTAGGTGAATGCTAAGTAAAATAGAAGTCGTGGTCTCTGGGGTAAACAGAAGGTTATTGTTTGGAAATTTATTTTCTGTTGCACGTCAATTGCTCGATAAATTGTCTCTTAAAGAATGTTAAACATATGTTTGTGTGGGTGAATTGCTTAGCTGTTTTGAACTATTACAAGTATCGAACTAAATATTTTATATTGCTTGATGAAAACCATACACTAATGTGTTGTCCCAATTCCCAAGGATGATAACCTTGTTCTATGCTTAACCAAATTCCTGAGTATTATTGGTGGCTCCAAATTCTGGATGGAAAAATATATAAAAGACTTCATTCCAATTCATACATTCTGTGAAACACTTGTACTTTACATAAGAGTTCTTTTATTCAAATGATTTCTAGTATTCCCTGTGCATATAACACGATGTTCAAAGGTTCAGAAAAATCACATGAAACTTTTAGTTTATCAGAAGTTACAAATGATCAACAACTTCCACCTTTTTCTCGGTCTATTTTCCAATGTCTTGATGCAGTTTATAATCTACAGGAGGGGATGGCATATGATTTGATTGTATTGACTACAAATATAGTTAACGGGCACACATTTACAGACACATTTGTGGAGAAAATGGGATGACTTCTAAAGATCTACATATTGATATTCGCTAAGAAAACCATGGAAGAGACTGGAAGCGAGGCTTTTTGTTGTGATTGCTTCTTTCGTTCTCATA